TGTTCGAACTTCGTGTAAACAATGTATTTTACATGCCCTATGCTATGTACGTCGCTAGAGTTCCATATGGAACAGGACGCGGTGCGACGATCACCGACGATAATATTGAACCAAAGTACCCGAAAATACCGACGACTAGACTGTATTTATTGTTTTTATTTATTGTGAAAAATAGTATTGCGAATATGAATAATACATGTGAAAGGACCAATTGTAGAGGGTACACTAAAATCATTCAATTTTATACATGATTCTATTTAATCCTAATATTAATTTGCCGCATTAGACCTGCCTATTCTATTTTCAACGTTGCGAGTATACCTATAAAACCACAAACTCAATGTTTCGATGTGTATTCGGTGACGTCAGTAAAATTACAATATTTAACACAAGTTCGGAATACAGAATAATGGGACTTCGGCAAACTTTCTATTGATCGTAAAAAAAATATTTAGCTGCCAAAATGTAGCTATGTTCCTCAAAATGTGTTGATTTACGTCAATGGGCAGTTAACCAAAGTAATATTATTAAATACTATATTGTGGGGCCTCTAGAGTGTATTATGATCAAACCAACAAAAAGTGAACATTAACGATGTTTCACACATGCTCTGAAGAACTCAAATATGACAGGTGGTAAAAAATACACAAACAATGAAAACGTTACAGATGGTATTTTCCAGATGGATTTTTTTGTTGAACCATATAAGATATGCAACCATGTTAAAAATATGACAAATTCGATCTAATAGTATACCCCCTCTCCAGTAAATAATTCACAGCGACAATGTCCTTGCAAATTCACACAATAATTCAAGCTACTAATTATGATGCCGTGACTGACATTTCCTATGCTATCTATTTCATTTACAAAAATTATCGGTGAATTTTCGGAGAACGTCAAGGTCACACAAGTCTGGCGCAATATGAAGACAGTGAAGATAAAAAACATAACTCCCTGCGAATAATATACATTATTCATTCGTGAGAGCAACACCTTGGCATAGAGGTGAAAGGTTAACCTAAATTGAAGACCTCCATACCAGGCAAACATTACCGAAGCGAACAGTTTATCAAAACACCCGGGAAACCATTGCCAGTAATTCACACAAACCGCGTGCTGCGGTGACGCTGTTAGTGATTGGCATGTCAGTATGGCAATGACACGCCCATAACCATTATCACCACGCGGAAGTGGTCATCACAGACAAAGGACATACGCAAAAGCCATTTAGAGATTGGCGGTTATTCACTGTTAAAAAGTCACAATGTTAGATGTGCGTTCATAATAATAAAATGCATTCGTACGTTATAGTACGTAAAGAGTTGGGATGTATTTTGGTAACGGCAACACCACAGTGGATAGGCAGTGTGATCGCACTGTATTTTACAGGTTTTTCGTCACGGCCAACGTTGGTGAAAACAAAACTGACACAATAATCTCGGGCGTGACATGAGTAAATTCAATGTTCAGTGTGAACTAAATCAGAGGTCACAATCATACGCTCATGTCGATTTATCCTCTGCAATTGTAGCAGTACCTGGTTCCGCTGTTGTGACTGCTTCTGTTGTTGGTGGTACTGTGTTCTGTCCACTGATTCCCGCATTGTCAACGACCTGCAGTAGCATAATCGAGTAAGGCGCCACCGCCGCCGATGTTGTTCCCGGCAAGGCTGTCACAGTGCTCGTAGACGCGGGTTGAACGCCGGGTTGGACGATGACACCGTTGTTTGTTGCCGAGCTAGCGGCTGCAATCATTGCCGCCGCCGTCATTGGACGATTACTCTTCCCTGGCGTCACTTTCCGCTTGCGTTTTGGTTGGTATTTGTAATCAGGATGTTCTTTGGCGTGCTGTTGCTTAAGACGGTTTGCTTCGTCGATGAATGGTCTTTTTTCCATCTCAGTCATCTGCTTCCATTCAATCCCAAGTTGTTTGCTGATCTCTGAATTATGTAGTTTTGGATTAATCTGTCGTACCTTTCGCCGCTGGCTCCGAGACCATACCATGAACGCATTTGTAGGTCGTTTAATACGCTGGTCAGCCATTTTGTGTTCTCAATGGAATGGCGTACTGCTTTTATTATAAAGAGGAGTCGACCGATTAACACAGTAACATGAATATTCATGACATCAACCCAAACAAGGAGACCATGACCGGAAAACGCACATCTGTTGTTTTATTTACTTTAATCATTAACAGAATATTAAATATACATGTATTGGGTTGGGCGATGCATCGGATTATGGGACTGAATGTTAGTGTAGATTTGTAAAAGCAATCCCACATATTAGAGGAGGGCAAAACATCACCCTGCGACAACAGATTTAAAATAAGTGAAGGAAAACAAAAGTATATAGTTTTATAATTGTTACCCCTCAATCATATATTATTCTTAGTATTATTAAACTTATTAGTATTAGTAAAACATGTTAACACATTACATTTTACTTTTATATTTTCTTTTTCTTTATTATTTCATTATTATTATTATACTTTGTTATACTTTTATTGCTACTGTACTGATAGAAATACTGTATTTCTAAAGATGCAATAAATATTATTATTATTATTATAGAACACTACTGTCTGTCAATAACTTGTCAATAGTTCCCTGTTCAGTGCGCAGAGCCAAGAATTCGTGAAAATGATGTACACATGTCTGAATCCATGCTTCTATAGTAGCATAGGTCACTAGAAACGCTTTCTATGGAGGTATAATAGAATGTTTGGTAATCGTACAAATGAATAAATAAATCTAATCTGTACACGGTAATATTCATAACAAATATTCATATACGTCTTTCATATATATTACAGTGACCTGATTTCCATACATGTGAAATACAATTAGAATATTCGAAACTTTAAACCAGGGTCTACCTAAATATATATATATATATATATATATAGGTTTGGTGGTTCGTCGTACGCCCTTCTTTCATTTGTAGGTCGGTATTTCCATTGCCAATAAACTATCACGCTACCTTAAATATGTCCATGGTATAATTCACCACAGAAATCAACAGAACAATAACTAGAGCATGGAGGTAAAGTTTTTTACCTCCATGGATAGAGGTACTGTGGTGTGACGTCATGGTGAATATTAATAATAACTTTATTACACTACTAAAAAACCTTCAGAGGGTTTTTGTATGGTAAGGAACATAAATACATACAATACATAAGAGATAAAAAAATAAAAAAATATTGATGCGAAAACATGTGTATTCGTTATTTTGGACAGTTCAATTCATACAGTGTGCATCACTGATTTTGTTAACGATATGTCGTAGGACGTAATTGTATCTACCTTTAGCATAGACTTCACTATATGCAAGCCTAGTTATTTTTATATAACTTACCTTATTAATCACACATGGCCTTACATTAGTGAGTATTGTTTATTTAAATCACCAACACGTGACCATTGAAGCTGCATACATATACATGTACATTACCATGATATTTGATGAGCTTGTAAAATCGAATCACGAGCACAGTGACAGTTAAAGCCTTGTGACCGCGTGTGAATGTGAGAAAGAATAGGATCCAATGTATGTGCTTAAAACTCCCATGGCTGTTTTCAAAACAACAGTGTTGATCAAGCGGTATTTACATGAAACCTGGCTGCTATTCTTTTACTAGGAATGAAGGTCACGTGTTTATCCCAAATGCAATGTCAACCCGTGTTGATTTCACGTGACACAACAGAACGCGTTATTTGTCCTTTCCGTTGCTAGCAGGACTGTGGTTCCAAATGAAATAATAGCTCACATTTATGTTTATTTATTAATAACTCACACATACGGCGGTTATTAGTAAATAAATATAAATACGTACGAGTTAAAATATATATATCGACAAGAACTCAATCGATAAGATATAAAACACTTGTGTGCGACCGAATTTGTGTTGGCAAATGGTGACAGAAACTTTCTACATTCGCATGCATGCAACGATTGAATTAAATCGATATATTGGAAAATATGCAAATATAATCTTGCCCGATTTATACATGTAGTAGTATTAGAATTATGTTTCTGTGAGACTTATTAAAGCACAGGGCTGTATGGAAAAGATGTGAGCCATCTATCGGCCAGAGTTCGTAAAAACGCAAAGCAAATTGACTTGCCTAGTATACCATTATGTCGTGTCGTTGTACCAACCTATCAACAAAATCGATTAATCATGTCCGAGAAACTGGTTAAAGAAACATGAAAATAAAACTAAAATGGTTACCAGTCGACCATTTTGAATTAAATCACAAAACTTACTCGCGTGCATCAGTAACCCCTATCATGTGTAATGTTCATACTTAGTTTTAATGAATTCGGCCCAGGCATGTCTGAGTAGCAATTTACGACATACCCAAATCTTGTGATTTCATCGAATTCCAATAATTTGCTATTCTCGGAGATGTTCATCGTTTTAGTACTATGGTCCATGTCGTTTGACACAAATGAAAGAGCAAAATGTGCAAAAAGTTTGAAGTTCATTTATTTATCGATTGTATTTAAATAATCATCTTCGTAACCTTTCAGTTGTTGTTTTATGGGGTCGATGAAATAGGAGGATAGATAAGCATTAGTGTACATAGTGGATGGAGGCGTAGTTTTGACTAATTCTG